GACAAGTTTATTATCATGTACCTCGACGATATCCTTATCTTTAGTAGGACTGTAGAGGAGCACGCTGAGCTCTTGAAAATAGTGCTAGGTCTCCTAAGACAGCACCAGTACAAGGTTAACTTGGAGAAATGCGAGTTTGGTCGCACCAAGATCTTGTACTTGGGTTGTGAAATCTCAGCAGATGGACTGAGGCCCGATGAGGCTAAAGTGGCCAGCGTACGTGACTGGCCCAGACCTCGGACTGTTACTGAGGTCAGATCGTTTTTGGGGATGACGGGCTACTATCGTCTGTTTGTGAAAAACTATAGTACTATAGCTTCCCCACTAACAGATCTAACTCGACTTGACACCCCTTGGGAATGGACAGAAGAGTGTGAGGCAGCCTTCAAGAAATTGAAGTATGCTCTAACACATTATGAAGTCCTCAAACTCCCGGATCCTGATCAGCCCTTTGTCGTGACCACAGACGCCAACCAATATGGCATAGGCGCGGTCCTTGCGCAAAAGGAGGGGAAAAAGTTGAGACCGATCGAGTATATGAGTAAGAAGATGCCATTTCAACAACTAGCGAAGTCCACATACGAGCGTGAGCTCTATGCCCTATATAGAGCGTTGGTTCATTGGAGACATTATCTCCTAGGCAGATTCTTCTATGTGAGATCTGACCATGAGACCTTGTGCTGGATCAAGACACAGCTCGTGCTCTCTGATGCACTCAAGAGATGGATACAAGTGATAGACATGTATGACTATCAACTTGACCCAATCAAGGGTGAGTACAACAAAGTGGCTCATGCACTATCTCGGCGGGCAAATTATCTGGGCGCACTAGTGACTGAATTTGGCATATCCAGCAACTTAACTCGATCATTGGTGGATGCCTATCAGCAAGATCGAGTTATGTCTGAGATCATTCGTAGATTTCAAACCAAGGACAAAAGAACTTTGGATGAATTTACGATGGGAGATGGCTTGTTGTTTCTTGTGAAGGCAAGGAATAAAAGATTGTGTGTTCCCAGTAGTGAGTCTTTGCGTAGTTTATTTTTAGGGGAATGTCATGATTCAACTGGTCATTTTGGTCATAAAAAGACTTCAGCTAACTTAGTACAAAAGTTTTGGTGGCCCACTATGATGCAAGATGCGAAAAAGTATGTAGAATCTTGCCAGGTCTATCAAAGGGACAAACCTAGGACTCAAGCTCCGCTTGGGCTCATCAAGCCCTTGCCGATCCCTGAAGGACCTGGTCAGAGTGTGTCCATGGATTTCATGGATACTCTTGTGACAAGTAAGTCTGGAAAAAGGCACATCTTCATAATAGTGGACCACTTTACTAAGTATGCAAGACTGATCGCTATGCCAGAAACTGCTAAAACGGACTATGTCATCAAACTGTTTCTGGATAACTGGGTCAGAGATTTCATACTACCTACGTCAATAGTAAGTGACAGGGATGTAAGATTTACCAGCGAGCTGTGGCAGTCGACAGCTGAGCAGATGGGTACCAAGTTCCAAACGACGTCAGGGAACCACCCTGAGTCAAATGGCCAAGCAGAACAGATGAACCGGGTAGTACAGCACCTGCTTCGGCATTATATTAAGCCAAGTCAGGATGATTGGGACGAGAAGTTACCTCTCCTCGCCAGCCTATACAACAATGTTGTGCACAGTACTACTGGGATGACCCCCAACCAGCTGCACCTTGGTTGGAAGCCCAGAACTGCACTTGACTTTTTGCTACCAGAAAGACAACACACTGCAGCACCTGGCAGCATAGAATTTGTTGTTAAATATCAGAAGATGTTGCAGCAGGCCATTGAACACATTAGGAAGTCTCAGGAGGCTATGATCGCATCCAAGAATAAACACAGACAGCCTTCTAACTTTCAGGTAGGTGATCGAGTCTGGGTAAAGTCATCTGAACTGGGTCAGGAGATGGGGATTTCACGAAAACTGATGCCACAATACTTTGGGCCCTGGGTGATCTTGGACATTGTAGGGGATCAACCGGATGGGCCTTCATACGTGATTCGTATTCCTGCACACTTACGCACACACCCTATGTTCCATGCCTCTAAGTTGGCACCTTTCGCTGCTACTGACCAGTTTCCCTCAAGGAGATCAATGTTGCCCCCAACCATGGATGACGAGGTGGACGTCGACCAAATCGTGGAGCATCGAATGGTGCTTGTTCCTCGACCATCAGGCAGAGGGCGCCCTAATAAACCGAGAATGCAGTATCGTGTGAGCTTCAAACATCATCTGGATCCCAAGGAAGATCGCTGGTTCACACGAGAAGGACTCCTGAGAACAGCACCTCAAGTGATTGCGGGCTATGAAAGAGAACTGAAAGGGAAGATGCTTGCAGAATAAGAGACTTCTCATAGGACTAACGAAGTAAAGGAGGAGGGAATGCGAGGATCTGGGTCCTCGGCAGGCCTAAGGGGCCCCGGTTGCAGTGGTGCCCGCCCTAAGTGAAGGCGGTGCTAACTTATCGCAAGAGGCCTTTGACTGTCAATTTCATATTTGGGGTCCAGGCAGTTGCAACGCGCCAATTAGTTGAGCGAAACACAGGTCGACCAACCAAGACATTTCCACGGCCTTCTGGGCCTTTCTGAAGCACGCAGGCCCTGGAGGAGAAACGCAGCCTCATACACTGACAGTTGGGAGGCCCAACCAACAGAGGCCCAGTAGCTGCAAAGTAGCACGCAGCATCCTGGGGCCTACCGGAAGCTTCTGGGCCCAGGCCAAGTCCAGCCAGGCTGCGAAGCAGGCAGGCTCTTTCCATATAGGAAAGAGCTCGCCACTCGGAGCCTCATTCAGGC